CTAGAAAAGTATTTAACAGCTTATATGCCCCAACATCTTAGAAGAGCTTTTTCAAGAGCTCGTTCTGAACAACTACACTCCATGGTAAGATATGGGAGGTTCCATGGAGTTCCATCTGAAAAAAGACTGTATATCTGTGGTGCACCATGTATTGAAGACACTGCACATACCCTCTTTGATTGCAAACTATATTCAACAGAAAGGACTGTTTACTTAGATTCCTACTTAAAAACAAAAAAATACTGGGGTACCCAGGAGAAATTGTCTTACTTTTTGCAGGGGACAAACCTGCGTATCACTAGTAAGACTGCATTCTTCATATCAAATGCGACTTTGAAGAAGACAGACTTTTTAGATCAGATTGGGATTAATTGCAGGGGTGACGACTTCTTATGAATTTGTTCTATTTTTTTTAATATATATATTTGCTTGTATACTTGTAATGGTTTTATACTTTTGATATGGTCAGATGACTAAATCAATAAAGTTTGTTGTTGTTGTTGTTGTTGTAAATAAATGCTTTTCAGCTTCCCAGTCTAGGGTGTGAGGAAGTGCGTGGAAGGTATGACTCTAATGAATTTACATTTCAGTTCTTTTAAAAAGAGTTACTCTGCCATGATTTCAGATAGGCTAGCAAAAAAAGGTAGGAAGTTTTAGTGTACAAGGATGAAGACAACTGGTTAGTTCTTATGCTATTGTTCAGATTTTGTCTTTTAATTAATATTTGATCTTTAATTGTTTTCATGATCTCTGGAATAATTTAAATTAGTGCTAAAAATATATCAGCCACAATGCAGTGCAGAATCCACTTGCTGGATTCTTTAATTTGTTTGCTATATTATTCTTTAATAAAATGGTAGCTCATGACACATACTTCCCAGTGGTTACATAGTCCGTATAAACTGTACATAATGGGTTTAAATGCAATGAATAATGCATCTTGGCATAAATTTAATCACAATAATAATCCAGTGGCAGTGGAAAACATTCAACATTTGAATTTACATAATGGACGTATTCTAATGAAGATGCCACACAAGTAAATTAGTATGTGAAAATTTGTCTTTTAACTGTTATATAATTAATTGTTTTTAACAGGGAAAAATAAGCACCTGTTGAATATGTTGCAGAGAACGTTCTATCAATACATTAAAATGGCTACACATTTGCATGTGCTGATTTGGCATTTATAAGTAAATAACTTTTTAGATTTCAGTTTTAGTGTAAAAGACATCTGGTTTGATATTTCAACTTTCATCATGTACTAAAAGACACTAACATTCTGACAAATAAATTGAGTTATATTTTTATGCATTACTTCCTTTAAAATGACAATATGTAACTTGTTGGTTACCATCTAGATTAGCTAGAATGTTAATGTAAGGCAGTTTGCAGGAATGATGGAAAAAGACCAGCCCACTCTCCATCTGTTACTTTTTTTATCATTGTGCCCAAAGCTTTGAAAGCAACTTATTGATTCACTTATTTTAAAACTCATCTTTTCAAAAATATTTGGTCAAAGCTGCTTAATAATTTATTCTAATTTTCTATTTGTTGTAAGAGAGATTGGACAATTGGATGGAATGTATCAGTGAAGTATAAAAATGGAGAATACTGCATGTGTATTTCTGGCTCTTTCTTTGTCTCCAGTAGCTGACCAGCTGTGAGTACAGCTGCTTCTAATATTCATAGATAACCAGTTATTTTCTTCCATAAATTTGGAATATTGATTTCTTACTGAACTCAAAATGTTTTCATCAAACATGTGACATTCATTCATTGCTCCGGTTACACAGCGTGTAGCTTGCCTTATTACAAGATTTGTCATCTTGTGATATGATAATGTTTCCATGCAAGCTTCCACTTCTAATTTATCTGGTAGTTTCTATGATACCAAGAACATTTTCCATATTTTAAAGCCTGGCTTATTTTCCTGGTTTGTTTGTTATTTTTAAGCCAGACTCCTCTGGCTTCAATCTGATCAAAATTCTGATTGAAGCCAGGACCTTCCCACTGAAACTGACATAGGAGGGAAGACCTGAAGAAAGGATCTAGGGCCAATGCTACCATTTGACAAAGTGAAATAGATATTTAAGCAATTATTTGGGGGTGCAATGAAAGGGTAAGAAGAAATTATTACTATTTAATATTTTGCTGTTAAAGTTTTGATAGCCCAAAGAGCAAGACACTTGCAGGATATTTTATCAGGGCTACCAAAATAATTCAGCTGATTGTGAAGAAAATGGCTGACTCAAGTAGAAAATGGAAGCCTTTGGCCCCCATGCTCATTAATAGTTTTGTAAGCTGCAATGTATGTAGCCTCTAATAGTCATCCAAACTTTGCCATTGTCAGAAGCTCTCTTAAACCATGCAGCATGGAGACTGCAGAAATAGGTGGGTAGGCTAAGCCTTTGAAGGAGCTCTCTAACTCCTTCAAAATAATTTTCTTGTTACTCTTTTTCTATTGGCATATCTAGCAGTTCCTCCAAATCCTGTTCTTCCCAATGTCTTTTATTGCTTCTCCTATAAAGTTAAGCAAGGAATAGAAAAAGAAAAGTCAAAGGAGGGAGAAAATTTGATGAATGGAAATTAATTTTGGTCTCTGCATGCTTCCCCAACTTGTGCCCTCCAGATGCACTGGATGTTTATTACTGTACTTTCTCAGATTTCATATCAGTTGAATACTAGGCAAGACTGTGTTGGGAAAGGCTGTTCTAATAACAGCAGTATTTGGCATGTCTTCCATTTCAGCTGCAAAGTTGAGGGGGAAATTTTTCTTCACTGTATGTTTCCAGTTATTATAAAGAACACATTGGGAAAGATAATGCTGCTTTGTTGATGCAAAAGAAAATACAACACTTATTAGATGGTGAGGTGCTTAGTGTGAGGTGAACCAGCATGAAGCTGCCCTTAGATCAATTCAACAGCTGGTCTGGCTGAATCTTTGGTAGTGTACCAACATTATGTGTCTGTTTTATACATTAATAAGTCTACTTTGCCAAAGGTCTTGTGAAGCTTATGGATATGTGATCAGTAATAATGAGAAGAAGTGGCTTGATAGATCTTTCAGATAAAATTAAAATTGTGAGTGAAGCTGTATCATCTTGCATTTTTATCTATCTAACTGGTTTAGAATTGTAGGATGCCATTATAGATGCTTGCACAGATTCAGTATTATTTCTACACGGAGATAATTTTGCTATGGATAGATGGGGCAGAGGCTTAAAACCCATTTCAGCTAATAAGAAAATTTCAGTCTTTAAAATAAGATGACATGATTGAAAGTGGATTTACAATTTGTAAGGATGGGTAATGTATGACTGCTTTTCATGTGAAATCATACAGTATTGTAAAAATATTTATGGCTAACCCAGCACATGTTATACAGATGAAATACTGCAAGCAGGTTCTCTAACATTCAATATTTCTTCTAATATGAGATTGCTGTTGTTTTTCCTGTTTCTGCAGAATTACTATGGAGCTGCCAAAATGATCTTTTCTGACAATCCACTTGGACTGTCATGTGGGATGGTATGTCCAACTTCTGATCTTTGTGTGGGTGGATGCAATTTATGTGCCACTGAGGAAGGACCAATTAATATTGGTGGACTACAGCAATTTGCTACAGAAGTAAGTAAAGATGTATTTAGACAGCTCTATTTTTCCTTTCTTCTCTATGCATGAGATTTTGCAGCGATTCTTTTCTTTTTTTTTGGAAGCAGATGTGATAAGATTTCTTTTCTTCATATAGAACACAAGAGCAGAGAGTTATTAGCAATTAAGAAATTAGTTTCATGTTCTAAAGTAATTACTGCACAAAATTTATAAACATCATTTATTCCAGTTTTCAGTCCCACATATAAGTTTCAGGATAGATTACAAGTATAAAGTTAAATGTATACTGGATACACACCTAGTTAGTTACACTGACAATTATTTTTTTTTTCATTTCATTATTTTCATTATATTTTCGTCAGACTAAAGTTCAGCTCATCCACAGTTTGGATTCAAAATATAATAATTCAAAGGGAAAACCAGAGGCATTAAAAATGTCTCACTTGTAAGAAAGAAAGGACTTAATAGGATGCCAAGACATTAACAAAAAAGGAAGGATGGTGCCACAAGTTAAAAAGTCCAGTGCTTTAGTCACCTGAATGTCAGACAATGGGACATTAGAAAATGGCCTTGAAATATTCTAGCCCCAAATCATCAACAGCTTTGTAGGTAATAATTAGGATTTTGAAGTTTGTTTGGAAGGAACAGGTAGTTAGTGCTGATTTAATAATATAAAAGTTGCATGTGCTGAAAAACAAACACTAAATTTATACTTGAGCTACAGCATTGATCTGAATATCGGCAAACTAGGTATAGCAAGAAGGATATTCAGAATATTATGAGGACTGAATTTTAGCACACCACCCTCATTTAAAATATTGTTGAATTTTGTGCGTTTCAATTTTTTTTTGTTAAAACATGCATGTTTTATGAAAAAAAATCATTAAACCATAAACAGAGTGCTATGATCATGAAGTTGGCCTTACTGCTCTGGCCTACTGTTGGCCTACTGTTCAAGCCTTGATCACATACTAAAACTCATAATAGCTGTACATGTTAGAATAGCAACATATAACAAACAAAATAACAAAGGTGCACAGTAAATGTTAATTTGCTTTTAGAAATTTAGTTTGTACAATAGAGGTTTTTTTGGGTGAAGACCTAATTAAGATGTCCGCTTCCATGTTGTTTAGCGCAGGGTGGACCTAATGGAGTTTATGTTGAGTTTGTTATTTTATAGTGTGCTATTCACAAACCCATTACACTGTTAACTTCTGGAATAAGCAACTTTTTTCAGGCACAGGAAGGAATAAACAATAGTAATCAAATAAATTAAAGGCATGAGATCAGATAAACCAGCTCCATATGCGACTTCATACATTTTCTTTCATTCTTTAAACTTCTCACCTTTCTGCCTTTTTAAAGGATTTCTTCAACTCCATCCAAACTATTTTTTTAGCCTTCCCTTTCCTCCCAATTCATTCCATCTTTCTTCATATCATTGCTTTGCATTCTGATCCTCCTTCATTCTCTCTGTATGGCTAAACCACCTCAAAAACTTCTTTCATATTGGTCATGCATTTTTGTATTCAATACACATTCATTCAATACATATTCATTCTTAACCCTATCTCTTCTTGTTTTATTACCCCCTCCCAAGTATCCAATTCTTACTACGTTCAACTTACTATGATACATTGCTTCATATCAACTGTCACTATCATGTAACAAAATAGACAGAAGCACATTCCTTTGCACAGCCATTTTCACTTATTTTGACAAATGTTCATTTTTTGCAACCAACCCCTATTCTATCCAACCCTTTCTACCAGCTCTTTCAGGTTTTACATTTTTTTCTATTTTTCTCCCTTTAGTAAATGTTTTACAAAGGTACACAAATTCATCTTTATGCTTTCCTTTTTGCCATGTATTACTTACAGTTGTTAATTTCATCTTCACAGCTACTTTGGTCTTTGACACATTAATTTTCAGATCCATACCTCTCATTGCATCATATGATTCACTGCAAATCAATCAGGTTCTCAGCCATTCACAGCTCTTCATCTGCATACCAAAGTACATGTATGTTCATGGCATAAGTATTTGTTTCAGTTCTATTCTGGCATCACTATCATTCCCATAAAAATGTCTAAATACTCCTTCCAGCATTCTCTTACTTTATTTTCATTGCAAATCTTTTCATCTTTTTTATTTTTAATTCCATATATCTCCTGGAGGCCCTTCTTTAACCCTCTTCACCCACTTTCAAAACAAATTTTTGTCTTTTATCTGCAACCTTTAATGTTAAAAATTCTTTTGACCACAATGTTTGAAACTTTGAAATATTTATTTATTTATTTGTTTACCCCTACCTTGTTACCCTTCTGGAATGCTGTAAAAAGCTGCCACTTGCCCCAAGCGATGGGATTGGGTGAAGTTGGAGCTTTTGGCTGCATCAAGAGAGTTTGGTTGTGGTGCCACGTTTCTTTTCTTTTTTTAATTGTTTTTTGCTCTTATTTTTTGTATGATGTTTTGTTTTATATAATTGTTGTCAGCTGCCTAGAGTTGTAGTTCTAAGATGGGCAGGTGTACAAGTCTTTTAAATAAATAAATACCTTTTTGTAGCAATCATTCTTTTATATACATTTCTTCTCATCCTTAGCTTCTTTTATTTCATCATTCACCAAGCATCGTATTTCATATTTCACATTGGCATAACTCCACATGCTTCTGTGGCAGGACACTTTTCAGTTTGTTCCAAGCAACTTCCACATCATATTTCCTTATGTCTCTCTCCATTCAATCTGTTGGAAGATTAATCTAAAGTCTAATACATTTTTATTGAGAACTTGTACTGTCTTTTCCTACAACCATTCTACTTTTTTTCCTCTCTCTCTCTCTCTTTTTTAACTTCTTCCTTTTTGTTCATATCCATTTTTCCAAGATCCACTCTTGCCTCACAATTAGAATGCCTTCTCTCTCTCTTTTTTAACTTCTTCCTTTTTGTTCATATCCATTTTTCCAAGATCCACTCTTGCCTCACAATTAGAATGCCTTCTCTCTCTCTTTTTTAACTTCTTCCTTTTTGTTCATATCCATTTTTCCAAGATCCACTCTTGCCTCACAATTAGAATGCCTTATAATCTTTGTATCCTTCATTAATTCTCTCAATCATTCAGAATAAACAACAACAAAATCTGTACTGTCTCATCTCATTCCAACCCAACCATTCAGGTTACCCAGCAGAATTATGCTTTCTGCTAGATAACTTTCACTGAGAATGTTGCACAGATTTTTCCAGAACTCATGTCTGATTCTTTCATTATCACATTCATGAGAGGATAACATCCAACTATCCCTAACCTCTATATTTCTTCTTTCATACACATTCATAACAGTGGGTGATACTATTTAATACCTTCTGATGTATATTTTAGTCCATTCTTTCTTAATTAAACTTTCTCCGCATGCATTCATCAATTCCATTCCACAAGATCAGAACACCTTCATTCACATCCATTACATTCTTCTCCTTTCTTAGTTTCACAGACACACATCTATTTTTCATTCTTTAATTTCATTTCTTAGTTAATGATCTTTACTGTTTATTATCCTTACATTCCATGTTCCAATCTTTCATATGCCACAGTTATCACCAGATGAGCCCATAGATATTGACCCCTGCCTTCCCTCATAGCTTTAGTTAGTCAAGACTTTCACATAACTTTTCCATAGTATGATGAAGTATAGATAAAGTTACCGGCCTTAGTTGCACCTGAGCCACATGTAGCACTCCCTGCTAATAGAAAGAACAGAACCGGTCAGTTCTGGTATATATTGGCCAGTATGCCACAAGTTCAACGAAAATCTAATTTATCCCTAGCATGTCCACGCTATTCTATACAAGCTAAGATCACTAATCTGGAGAGTGTCTTGAATGCTGTTATACTGTTGTCTGCTTCCTGTCAAGTAGGACATATATGCGGTGTACCGATGCACATTCAGAATGGATATAGCATGCTGCTTTCATTTTTCAATATGCCAGTCCTGACCTTTTCTGCTTTAGGATAGGTTGCTCTTTTACTTCTGCATTTGCCAAGCTCATAGATCCAATCCATTTACTCATACAAACCTTCTTAGGTGTCTATGGGAGGGCAAGTAGGGAGCGGAGTGAAGTAACAAAATGTGAAACATGATGTCTTCATGCAATCCTACTACTTAATGTACTTGCATCTGGGTACAGAAGTACAGAATGGTGAGATTTGCATTCTGATATTATGACATACATTTCATCATTTTTCCATCATTGTGGTTACAAGGCAGATGCATATTCTGTCATCATGATTCAGACCTCAGAAACAACAGAACTGTGCAGTAATTTGATGAAGTGAGAAATTTCCTCAACCTAAAAGAGCTAAAACAAAGGCATATAGGCTGGGTGGAGAGAACAGCCAGTGTTACTTAAGGCAAGGATTGGATTAACTTAGAGTTGCCTGGTTTTAACTATTTGGGAGAAGGGTTAGGGATCTAAGCTTTAGCTTAGCCTGGTTGTCTGATTCACCAGTTTAATCAGACATTAAATCAACAGTTTAGTACCATATACCTTTTGGAATCTCCAAACTTGAATGCATCCCTGAGCTTTTGCCATATTGGTTAGTTCAAGTGTGAATGGTCCCTTGTCATCTTAAAAGAGCTTCTTAGGGCTGTTTTCTTCCATTGTCCAGGAGTTGGAGAAAAAGAAAAAAAGTTTTAAGAACAATTAGTATTGCACTAGTTTACCTTATATATACATTATTGTTGGTTGCACAGTCAGCCAAATGTTTAGACAGGATTTGGCATTTTTATCAACCTATCGAGTCCTTCCCAAGGACCTGGAATAGGCAGATGGTGTCGTTTGATGGTGTTAAAGATTGTTGCAAGATGTAAGCTGTTCCAGGTAAAGCTGCCTTTTGCAATTGACCGATGGTGATTTTGTCAATGCCGAAGGTCTTCAAGTGGTGCTCCAGAAGTTTTGGGATTGCACCCAAGATACCTATAACTGTTGGTACTATCCTTGCTTTCTTTTGCCACAGTCA